GGTAACTTTTCAGTGAAGTAGATGTTTCCAGGTGCAAAACTTTATGACCTAAATAATTTGTAATCCTTTCCATAGTATATGCAAGTATTTTAAAGGAGTCAGGTGTCTTAACAAAAGCCACCCAAGATTGTGGTTGGCATTTGTGTTTATTTGCCTTAACATACCTATATTGACTTTAGCATATTTTCTCTAAAGCAGGGGGTCCCCTGGGCCTCTGACCTGTAGCAGTCTGTGGCCTGTTAGGAACCTGGCCACACAGGAGGTGAGTGGCGGGCCAGAGAGCATTAGTGCCTGAGCTCCTCTGCCTTTTGTCAGATCAGCAGTGGCATTACATTCTCATAGGAGAACAAACCCTATTGTGAACTGCACATGTGAGGGACCTAAGTTGGATGCTTCTTATGATAATCTAACTAAGGCCTGATGATCTGAGGTGAAACAGTTTCATCCTGAAACCATTCGTCCACCCCTGCCTGGTATGTGAAAAAATTGTCTTCCACGAATCCGGTCCCTGGCACCAAAACAGTTAGGGACCACTGCTCTAAAGTATATGTGCTTTTGCAATGCAACTTAGGTGTAGGAGTTTATGCGGTTTTTGCCTTTTTGTTTTCATTGTGTAAATTATCAGCCAAAACTTTTGTTGAATGACTGCAAAATCTTGGTCTGTGTTCCCTGGACCGGCTTTGTGATGATTCACACTCGTATTGATTAATGGCATGATTCATAGCAGCGGGCATTGATAAGTTCAAGAACTCCCCTTGTTGACTTTGTGGGTCATCCTTGACCCTTTTGGGAGAGGTGTTTCTCTGAGACGGGAGTAGCCAACATCCATATGTATTACAAAACACACACACACACACACACACGCACACACACAGGCATTTGAAAGGGAAGGGAAACGAATTAGTGTCAATTAATTCTTTGAAATGAAATGTATATCATTGTTTCACATGACGGGATCTGGTTTGTGTGATGTGATATAAGAAGGGGGAACTCTTTAAGCCATACAAAAACTGGATCTTAAGTGATTTGATATGTGCAGGGGTTATAAATCTTGTACTCCATTTATTTACAGATTAGTCATATTAGATGTAAATCTATTTAGCAGGGAAAGTATAAGCAATTTATCTTTAATGGAAAGGATGGTTGGGAGGCCATAATCTCCTTTCTACTACTTCATAAGATATGATTAAAGGAAAGCAAATGAAATATAATAATTATTTACACATAATCCTTTATGTCAAAATTAATATTGCATGAATTTTGAATTCTATATTTACCTGAAAGAAACCTGTAAAATCTCTGTGCTGTGGGACGTTGCAGATTTTAGTGCAGTGAGGTGTGAAACAATAGTACAGGTAGAGGGTTAGAATCCTTGTCTCCCATCAGCATTTGGGTTTGTGTTTGTGTGGTTTTCTTGCTGTTGTTAGAAACAATACGTTTCTTCAGAAGATGCCAAAAGAACTTGCTTTAGCAAGTTGACATTTATTGATGAATAAGTATGACATTTTAATCCCCATATTTTAAATGATGTTTGGTTACTATTTATTTAAAAGCAACTGAATAAAAACATCTTCAGCTATCCAGATTCCAATCTGTACAGATGACTAATCATGTGGAAGATTTGAACATAAAGGTTCTAGTGAAAAATAAAAATTAAAACAAAAAAATGTAGTTGCTCCCAGATTAGAAAGTACAGAATGTTTTCTGTGCCTTTTAGATATGGGTAACTATGACATTGAAAACAATGGTAACCATGGCAAATGCACCTTACAAAATAAATAAGTGGGGGGAAAAGACATGGGGGGGAGGAGTAGGAAGGAGTTGGTGTAGTAACAGCTTGGTGAGTAAATAAATATTTAAACTTCATTCTTTGTTACTTGTGTAATCATGAGATTTGCAGAGTTATGTTTTATATTACATTTTTAGTTGGTATATTGTTTATCTTGTGTTAAATAATCTGTTAAGCCAAATTTAAGTACTATTCAGAAACAAAAGCAAGTTACAAGCTTTGTGAGTGTTAATGTCTTGTGTGTAAAAAAACCCAGGATATTGCATTAGATATATCCTAAGGTTTTTCCAAGCTCTTAAATTCCATGGTTCTGTGACCCAGGAGGTGTCCAGGAGTCCTGTGAGTAAACTTTTAAGTTTTGAAGTAACATTAACTCCAAGACTTGAAACCCTTGAAATTGCCCAGAAATCCTATACAAGATTTTCAGAAAGTTACCATTATACTTCCTGATTACGCTTACGGATACAAATATAAAGCAAACAAAAAACAAAGACACATAAAACAAACCCTGATCCTAGCAGTTTAAGAAAAGAGGAAATTTATTAGAAGGTTCTGGGGGAACATTGTCCAGTAGAACTTTCTGTGATGAGGAAAATGTTTAGAGAATCCGAGCTATCCAGCATGGTAGTCAATAGTCATATGGGACTATTTAGCACTTGAAATATGTCTAGTTCAGCTACAAGACTGGATTTTACATTTTATTTAGTTTTAATTAATTTAAATGCAAACTTTTAGGATTTAAAGGAATCCTGGGAGTAACTGAAACATCAGTCTTGCAAAGAGTAGGAAGAAACCAGGGTGGCCGTAGGGACTAAGAACTGCTTTGGAAGCAGTAGTGCTGGGTTCTTCAGAGTCATACCATGACTTAGTTATTAGTTGTACCCAACCTGGAGTTATCAGATAACAATGGCATCTTGCAGGGAGAGAAAATCTGATTGTCTTTACATGGATTTGGTGTGTACCCTCCAAATCAATCAACTGTAGGTTGGGTTGCAGAATGGTTGTGTACATGCCAGAGTGCTGACAGTTCCCAGGGAAGGAGGAAGTGGAGCCCGGCAGCAGTCTTAAGAGTGGTTTGCCACATTACTTAAAAGAAATGTATTTTTCCCTGCAAGCACTGATTTTTCTGACTAAAATACTCTTATTTTATTCATTTACTTGTATTGCACCTGACTTATTTACCTTTTTTATTGCTAATTTAAAATAATACCAGTCTATGTTGAGTAAAATTTTACTAACCTGAGAGACTAATGATTTATAACATTGTGTAGAAGGAAATCAAAGAACATTATAGCCGAAAGCAACAATATGAGCCATGCTAGACAATGCTGTCTTTTTACAGAGAATATTGATACCAAGGCTTAGATGTTTTGCTATTTCAAGTCACAAAATTATTTGCCACATTAGGGGTAGATACTTACTTTAATCTGAACCTATGTTGTTAACCAGCTACATGTTAAAACCAAGTGTTTGAAAACCATCTTTTTGAAATTTGACGCTTTCCTGTAAATTATTATTTTCCTGTCAAGTGGTAATACTAATAATTTGTGAGAAAACTGAGTAGTGCAGATTTTGATTTTCAAGGGTTTTTTGTTTTGTTTTATATTTTTAAAGCACAAAGAAAGAGCTTTGAGAATGTGTTAATTGTGTTATGTGAACCTGTAAAATTAACCTAATGTAAATGACGAATTAATGGGTGCACCACACCAACATGGCACATGTATACATATGTAACAAACCTGCACGTTGTACACATGTACCCTAGAACTTAAAGTATAATAAAAATAATTAACTCTTATTATTTAATACATTTGAACCAGATAATGCTTGACCCAGATAAGTGAAGGATAGATAGAAAGGAAAGGCATTCACTTAAAATGACTGCTTATTTTATCAAAGTTAGATTTCAAATTAGAGTTGGATGAGCTGTTTTAAATGTCCATGCTAAATGTGTTGTGGACCGCCCCGGAAACAGGTTTTCCTCTGTGTAAATCAGCCATGTTTCTGTGGTGTGAGGTGGGTGGGAGCCTTGCTTTACTTCCTGCATCTCAGCAGGCTCAGGAAGGGAAGCTTGCTAGGTGTTAAAGCACCCACATGCATTATGTTAAGTTAATTCTACCCCAGTCTTTGGACATCTATTGACAATAGTATTATTTGGGTTGCAAAATCAACAAGTTAATAGACCAAGGAAGAAATGGGGAAGAACGCAGAATGAGTGTGAGTCAGACACTACCTTGACACAGGAAGGCAGGACTAGAAGCCCTGAGATTGGTCAGATCCAAGAAATATGCTGACTGCACTGTCATTTAAAACAGGCCACTGAGAATTCGGGACCTGATTGTCCATGTCTTACTAGCTTAAAGCAGTCTTCTGGGAAGAGGTCTGGACCTGTATCTAACATGAATTCTAGTGAGGTCTGTCCATCACATTTCACTCATCTAATCTCCTTTGTCATTCTTCTGGTTTTCATAGATAGGATAGAAAAACTGTAGTTTTTTTTCTGTTGCCACTTAGCTCTTGGCTGCAGGGGCTGCTAGGTGGGTGTGAAGTGGTTATCAAGACTGTTAAAAACACTTCTCCTCAAAATTGGCCTTAGCAGTTAAGCCAGATTTAAAATGATTTTGGTAGTGGATTATCTAAGCTCATATAGAATAACTGTAAGTCACTTTCAAACTTGCCATAAATGAGAAGATAACGTGTTCTCATTCTCTGGACTAGCTTTTCCCAGGAAAAGGTCTGGGGTGGAGGGATATCAAATATCAATTTTTGTAGATATGGAAGGCTCCATGAATGTGCACTTATAGGCCCTCTGAGGTCTAACTGAATGTATGTTGAATGCAAATTCTTCTGTTTTCCTCCCCAGGTTTGTCATTTGGGAGCTAGTACAGGAAGAAAGATCCTCAGTAACTAGCAAGTCTGTCTTTGTTATATGTAGACAAGCATTTTGATTAATTTAGGGAGGATGCTTTTTTCACTATGTAAAATTAAAGTGAAATTATGGAAGAACCTAGTTTGTTTTCTTACTTGAGTGGGATGCTGTTTAACTACTTTCTTATTACATTTGATTGACTTACTTGAGTTGCATGCTGAATGTTTAACCCCACTTTCCCTCCATGTCACATTTGATTTACTTAAATACCGATGCCTGTATACTACTTAAAAACCCAGTCTGGTATCATCAGTCAACCTCTAAAATAACTTAATAAAAATTTCAGAAAGTTGTGGCAAATTTTTTGATACATTTTCATTCATAGCCAACTCAATTATATATTTTTTTTATACAAATCACATTATACTGTAATCCATACACATTAAATTTCACTTAAACCAAAGAAGAACCAAGGCTTCTTTACTGGATCTCACCCCCTTACCTATTTAAGAGCATTGCCCCAGCAAGTCCTCTTTTCTGCATCAGCATTTTCTACTGTTTGTTGGATCATACTCATTAGCAGAAGATGCCATAGTTTTTACTGTCTTGAAATAATAAACCTTCTCATGAGCCCTTGTTCTTATCCAGCTACTGCTGCACTTCTCTTCAGATCAGAACTCTCCAAAAGAGTTATCTGCGTTCACTGTCTCAAATTGCTCTTCTCCTGTTCTTCCTTGAACCCTCTCCAAAGCTTTTCCTCCTCCACTGCTTCAGAGCCTGCTTTTGTCAAAGTCTCCAATAACTTCAGTGTTGTCAAGTCTAATAGCAGGCTCATCTGATTTGACTTGGCATAGCATTTAACACAACTGATCACACTGTCTCTCCCGGAACACATTCTTCGCTGGAGTACTTGGACATCACATGCCCTTGGTTCTCCTCCTGCATCATAGGCTGTTCACTCTCAGTCATTTTTTTCCCCCCTATTTCTTCATTTCTTCATCCTCTAACCATTTAACCATTGGGATGCCCCCTTCTCTTTTCTATATAATGCACTTGTGGAGTGAGCTCAAGCATTCTTCTTTCATGTATGACACTGATGGTTTCCAGTTTTTTTTTTTTTTTTTTTGAGACGGAGTCTGGCTCTGTCACCTAGGCTGGAGTGCAGTGAGGTGATCTTGACTCACTGCAACCTCCGCCTCCTGGGTTCAAGTGATTCTCCAGCTTCAGCCTCCCAAGTAGCTGGAACTACAGGTCCATGCCACCACGCCTGGCTAATTTTTGTATTTTTAGTAGAGATGGGACTTCGCCATGTTGGCCAGGTTGGTCCTGAACTCCTGACCTCAGGTGGTCCACCCGCCTCAGCCTCCTACAGTGCTGGGATTACAGGCGTGAGCCACCGCACCCGGTTCGTTTCCAGTTTTTTATTTACAGTTTGGATCTTTCCTCAGTGCCTCTAGTCTCATATATACAAATACCTGCTTAACACTTTCACTTGCCTGTCTAAATTAACTTGTCCACACTCAGACTCTTGCTTTTCCTTGTTCTTTCTGACCAGTAACAGTGGCCTTCTTGATATTTATTTAAAAAAGAAAACAGATTCACAGCTCAAGGTTTTTATATTTGCTATTACCTCTGTTTGCTTTTCTCCCAGATAACCACATGGCTTATCTCCCCACCTCCTCAAATATCACTATTCTCAGTCCAGCTACTGTTTCTTCTTAATTTTCTCTCTAATGCTTATTTGACATGCCGTACATTTGTCTGTTTAGTGCTTTACATTCCAAGAATATATGCTCTAAGAGGGCAGTGACTTTTGTCCATTTTATTCACGAATGTATTCTCATTTCTTACTATAGTGCCTGGTCCATAGTAAGTGCTCAGTTAATATACATTGAGGGAAAAGACTACAAGAATATTACTACCATGATGATGTTACAGTTGATTTTAGTTCCAGGAACTGAAAATGTGAAGTGCTTCAGTCAGTTTCTCCTTTGAAACTTCACTTTAGATAACTTACTTCTTTAGGGAGAACAGCAGCCCCTTATTCTTAAAGGAAGATTGCCATTCTGTGCCTTTTTCTTCTGCAGCCTTCTCTGAGTAAATTGCTCATTCTAGCTTCTTCTTGGAATGAGTCTGTTCTCTGAACTTCTCTTGGCTCTTTCCTCTTTCAGCTTGGCTTCTGTTCACGGAGCTTAGTTCTGCTTCCTGACCTCACAGAGCTTGCCCTTTTTATAGTAAAAAGCCTGTGGTGATGTCATTGGCTCAGCTGGTTTCAATCAGGCTGCTCAGTTGAAGCTGGTGAATGACTCTGCAAGTTGTCTTTTGGAGGGCTATACTTATTCTGATACAAAATACGCAGTTATATACAGCATTAACCATTTAGCAATTATCCCATGCGGATGAGTCATGGGAATGCTTTTTCCCACTCTTTACTAACGGAAATTCTCATCGATCATTGGCTGCCCCACAAGCACAGCAGAGTCAGGTATCTGATGTTGGTCAGCTGCTTACTGGCTCTTACTCTGCTTCTACCCCTCTAGGACCTCCTGCAGCCTTTCTCTTGCCTGTTACTTTATTCTGCTTTCTAAATATCCTTCCTTACATCCTTAATTAAGCTACCCCAAACTCATTTCTCACCTTGAACCTCTGCCTTACTGTTACTCATCCATTTGCTGCTCTTGGATCACACTTTTTTTTTTTTTTTTACCTTGCCATTTGTAAAATGTAATTGAATTCTGTGTGTGGCTACTCTTTATTTTTGAATTATAGAGCTTCATCTTTACTATTAATCCTGTAACAATTGCTATTTTTGATTTTAGAACATTGTACTAACTTTTTTCAGTGAGAAGGTGATTGGTTTGTGATTTATTTTTGCTAATTTTATGCTTCTAAGTCTGATGCAAGACATTTTAATTATATTTTTTAGTTTGGAAGAGAAAGGCTTTATTGGGAAATTGCTTGGTTTTCATAAAAGAAATCTGTCATATTTAAAAATGGGCCTGCATAGAATATAGTGTGTATGAAAAGTAGTGGCTACAGAATACTTGTAGTTAAAGCTCAGAAAGCTTTGATAGCCAGTGGCGCAAAGGGGGTCCATGGGGGTGATTGTTTAAAGGGATGGCAGCGGGGTAGGGAAAATGTAAAGTGAATGTGTAGAATGAAGGGGTGCTTATGACCAGGGTGAACTTCTAATTTATTGTCTAAATCAGGATGCTTTGAAGATGAAAGTTGTAACAGACATAAGCTGGGGCTGCCCACGCACACCCTACCTATATATAACATTGCCAACACACCTCAGAATTGTGGGTAGGTCTGGGTTGGCCTTCATGTTCAGTTGCTTTTCAGGATGCAATGAAGCTAATATTCCCCCTCTGTGGTATCAACAGTCTGCTTCATAGCAGAGCAAGAGTCTCAGGAAACACAGTTTAAGAGCTCCAAGGTCAATATGGAGAGGTCTGTTTCTGAGCAGCAGCTATTTCTAAGCCACTGCACGTGGGAAGGTGGTAGAGGGAGTGATGAGGAGGGGATCAGGTATCTTTGGGGAAGTTAATGGACCTAATTCTGAGGGTTAGAGAGGGGCAAAATTTGGGGTAATGGGGCAATAGCAGAGGACTGACCAGTGACAGGTAGACTTAAGCAATCTTTAAATAATATTGAATATGTTTTAAAGACATGCTTACCTCATTATAAGCTTATAATTAAGAAACTGAATATGGCAAAGTAACTGCAGTGTTAAGTTTATTTCATAACATTGAATTTGAAAGTCATAGTTAAAATAACTCTTCTTAATTTTTTTTTTGTCCTAATGGCTTTTAAAATTTCGTTTTTTATGTTTGTTGCCAGAATTAAGAAGTGACCCTTTCTCTATATAAAGCAAATGGAGTTTTATATGCTAGATTCAACGTTGTGAACTGGGGAAAAATATCTGGTTTTATGTAGGCTTTAAGAAAAATCAGGACTGATCCTAGCAAGATTAGGAAGGGGATTTATAAGACTATAATATAGTCACTATCTTAGTGTTATGACTTACTGCTTTCGTTTTCATGGAAATTTCTCCTGAAGAACATTGTGAATCACTGGTATAGACAGAATTCTGAACACTCTTAGACCACTGACAAAGTAAAAAACCCTGTTTGCAGCCGACAGGGTCTGTGATTTTTCCATAGTAGGTACTTAATAAATATTGTTGACTTGATTTGGCTTAGGTTTGTCCCTGGAAAATGAAAAAGCCAATGTACATTTATAGATTGATTTAAATTTTGGTGAGCATTTTTGCCAGGCTATGTACATTTAGAGAAATAATGGCTGATATTTTTGTCTAACAGGAATTGCAGGCAATGCGTGAGTTGAATATGCAAGATGGACCTCTGTGGAGACAAGAACCATTGGAAGCTTTTGCATACCATGTTATCTAAATATTCATAAGTAAATGCAAATAGAAAAGCAATTTCTGTCAAATTAGGACATTTAAACAAATCAAGTGTTAACTTTGTTATTAAATTTTAAAAATGCATTTTTTGATATTTACCTAAATGAATTGGAAATGTAGGTTTACACAAAAACCCATGCACAAATGTCCACAGCAGCTTTATTTTTAATTTCCAAATAACCAAGATGTCTTTCAATAAGTGAATGGATAGATAAACTGTGGTACATCCATATGATGAGGTATTATTCAGAGATATAAAGAAATGAAGTATCAAGCCACATAGAAATGGAGAAAACTTAGATGTCAGTTGCTAAATGAAAGAAGTGAATTTGAAAAGGCTGTGTATGATTCCATCTATGTGATATTATGGAAAAGGCAAAAATATGGTGACAGTGAAAAGGCCAGTGAATCCCAGGGCAAGTGGGTAGATCTGGGGAGCAAGAGGGATGAATAAGTGGAGCACAGGAAACTTTTAGGACCTGAAAATATCCTGTATCATACCATAATGCTGGATAGATGTCATTGTACATTTGTTGAAATCCGTAGAATGTATAACACAAAGAATGAACCTCAATATAAACCGTGGGCTTTAGTTAATAATAACGTATCAATGCTGGCTCAGCAATTTCAACAAATATACCATACTAATGCAAGATGTTAATAATAGGGGAAACTGTGTGGGAGGTAAAGGGGTAAATGGGAACTCTGTACTTACCATTCAGTATTTTTCCTCTACATCTAAAACTGTTCTAAACAACATATTTTATTTTAATATGATAAACCTGCAAGGGCAAACCCTGTTTCCTGTACATGGTGGATGTCTGATAAATACATGGTACATGAATGCATGCTGGGATCAGTGAAGAAATGAATTGGGTGATAATGTATGTGGAAGTACCATGTAAACAAACGCCTTACAAATGGTGGGTAGGCGGGGGGAAGCTAGTAAGAAAAAATGGAAAATAAATTATGAAAAACATCTAGTGTAAAAGTTTGAGAAGGCATAAGAGGAATTTGAACTAAAGACTGAAACTATTTTAAACTGTTTAATTTTCAGAAAACAATAATTAGTATAGTTTTTATTAAATAGTTGATACCTATGCTTTCAGAGTCTGTGAATTAGAGACACCCACTTGACACAAATTACTTCTCATATTAATTTGGTTTTGTTCTAGAGGCTTCAGGTCAGACGTTTCAGAGGGGGCCCTTTTCTAAAGGTGTTTTTTGTTTCCTTCATTGCTTAATATGGGCAGGTTTCTGCAATCTTGATACAAAACCTTGATGAGGCCAGGAGTGGTGATTCAAACCTGTAATCCTAGTGCTTTGGGAAGCTGAGGCAGGAGGATTGCTTGATGCCAGGAGTTCGGGACCAGCCTGGGCAACATAGTCAAATCTTATCTGTACAAAAAAAATTAGAAAAATTAGCTGGACATGGTGGTGTACCTTTAGTCTCAGCTATGCGGGAGGCTGAGGCAGGAGAATTTCTTGGGCTCTCGAGTTCCAGGCTGCAGTGAACTGTGATTTCCACAGTACTCCAGTCTGGGCAACAGAGCTGGACCCTGTCTCAAAAAAACAAAAACAAAAACAAACAAACAAAAAACAAAGAAAACACACACAGAAAACAAAAAGCAAAAAAAATCACCACCCCAAAACAAACAAAAAAGATGTAAATGTGACCTTGCACATAACAAGCTTTCAGCCAAGAAGATTGAAAAGCAATTAAAACAAATAGAGGAATAGGTAGACTATCATTTGCTTAGTATTTTATAATTTTGAGTGTTTGGTCTGAAGAAATGAAGAAAATGTGACCTTTGTTAAGTTTTCGATAAATATGAGAATGACCTTGATTCTTTAGTTTTATCTTCAGTAATGTTAAAAGTGCAAGTATGTTGAAGTTATTTGTTGTTTTTCTCAGATAAGCCTTGTGTATTTGAAAACAATGGGGAATGATTTCTGTTAGGTAGTAGTATAATTTTCCTAGCTTTACATCTTTTATGCAGTGCTCTCAAGGAACATGGGTGGGACAAGGTTATAATACTGGCAACTGTTTCTTAAGGATTTGACATGAAAGAAGGTATAACTTTCTATAGGCGATTACAGATAAGAACATAGTACTGTGAGAGTATATAGGAAAGGTGCTTACCTGCAGCCCTGAGGATCAGTGAAGGTGCTTTATGAGAAGTGACAAGCGAACCAGGACCTGAGATATGGGTGGCAGTTAACGAAATAAGTTAGCGAGAGAAGGGATGTGAAAGTAAAGGAATAGTCACTGCAGAAGCTTGGAGTCAGGGCTGCAGAGAGTTTAGAGATCAGAAAGATGTTCTTCGTGGCCAGAATATATACCGTTAAGTATGAGGTTTATGAGGAAATAATGAGGCTAATGAGGAAGTAGGGTGAGTGAAAGACTTTCAGCCATGTTAAATAATTAACTTGTGGAGCCCAGTCACTGAAAATGATTCAGTTTCATTTTTGAACTTTTGAACATTTTGTGATTAATAAAAAAGACATCAATTATTGCTTATTAAAGGCTTTCAATGCTATTATTCACACAGTTTATCTCATATGAATTGTTTTATTGCTTAAAGTGTCTTGGATTATAAGAAGGCACCTGTTAGGTTTGTATTGATCTAAATGTAATTTCACTTTAGCTTGATTATTGCTATTTATGAAATTAAACATTAAATGAGTTACGTATACTAGATTTGTGGGAAGGAAGGCTTTCTTTAAAGACAGAATAAACTCCCAAAGATTTTACTAATGTGGACAACATGTCTTTTTTTTTTTCCTACAGAAATGAAAAAAATATGTAATCCATGATTTTCATACCATAATACGGTACATAGAAGAAAAGATTTTTGTTAAAAAGAAGGGGAGTATTTGTGAACTCTGGAAGAATCTCATGTTGAAGAAGAAATTGTGAAATCAGAATGTAGTGTGGGTTTAGTATTTTCTGTACAGAATATGTTTGCGCTATATTACTAAATAATTCACAGATCTTTGATCTGATTAATTGAAATAAAATAATTGAAGATTTGTTAATTTTGGATGTTGTAGCCAGTTAACAGCTGAAATAGCCTTCAATACTAATTGAGTAAAGACAAAATAATTTGAGACGTGAACATATTTTCTCATCTATGTTATGTTCTTCTTTATGTATTTATTTTTGAGACAGAGTCTTGCTCTGTCGCCTACGCTGGAGTGCAGTGGCGCAATCTCGCGATCTCGGCTCACTATAACCTCCGCCTCCTGGGTTCAAGCGATTCTTCCGCCTCAGCTTCCCGAGTAGCTGGGATTACAGGCACCCGCCATCATGTCCAGCAATTGTTGGTATTTGTGTAGAGACGGGGCTTCACCATGTTGGCCGGGCTGGTCTTGAACTCCTGACCTCAGGTGATCACCCGCCTTGGTCGCCCAAAGTGCTGGGATTACAGTCATGAGCCACCATGCCTGGCCAACCTTTAATCTACGCTGTGCCGTTTAAAGAGTTATTCTGCAATTTCTTTGTATAAATATTTTTTTTTTCCCCAGGGGCCTTTTTTTTTTTTTTTTTTTTTTTTTGTTACTTAAATCAATTTTAAAGTTTAAGTTAGATATAGCCAATTGCTATTGCTTCTTGGCCCAAGATGTTTTCTTATTTCATCATTTTATTTTTATTTGCAGTGTTGACGGTTTTATTTTAGTTCTGTAGAGGAGGTGTCACCCTTGGCCATTTTTGCTTAAATAGTTCTTTTATTCTACTCTTTCGTTCATTCTGACCTTAGAGGATTTATGTATATTGAAACTTATTTTTGAAAAGTGGAGAAATAAAACTACTCATGCTTGGGATTCAGTTTCTTAAATGTAAACTGTCTTCATAAAATATGTAATTTTAAAGGCCAGGCGTGGTGGCTCACGCATGTAATCCCAGCACTTTAGGAGGCCTAGGTGGGCAGATCACAAGGTCAGGAGTTCGAGCCGAGCCTGGCCAATTTGGTGAAGCCCCGTCTCTAATAATAATGCAAAAATTAGCCGAGCATGGTGGCGTGTGCTTGTAGTCCCAGCTACTCGGGAGGCTGAGGCAGGGGAATCACTTGAACGCGGGAGGCGGAGGTTGCAGTGAGCCAAGATCGCGCCACTGCATGATCACTCCGTCACCCAGGCTGCATAGGCACTCTGTCCAGCCTGGTAACAGAGCAAGACTCCATCTCAAAGAAAAAAAAAAGTGATTTTAATTATTTTCTTTTATTAAAAATAGAATCTCAGAATGAAAAATGTGTTACTTCTTTAAGAGTAATAGAAACCATTTGGTACAGGTATTGGGAAGTTACAAAAAGATTCTTGACTTAGAAACACATACCAGTTTATATTCTCAAAACAATTAATATATATCACACATCTATTAAGTCATAAATTAGAGGATCAGTAATCAAAATTTATAAAATTCTCCTCCTTTGGACTCAGGATGATCTGAAGGTCTTACAGTACTTCAGATGACCAAAAGTCAATCTGGAGAATGTTCTTTTGGAGGTCTGAAGCCAATTTAGTTTCTCTTCTGCTCCCTTCCTGTTTTAGTTTTTAGCTTTTCATTCCTACCTGGAAATAGTTTGCTCCTTGTTTGTCCCCTTTCAGCTAACTCCCTTACCCTAAGGGAAAATTTAAAAGTATTTGGGTTACAAGTTATTTCTCCATAAATAAAGTGCATGTGTATAAACAGAGTTCTCCATTTAGCAGGTTTGATATAGTCTACCCACAGAGTTTTTGTTTAATAAACACTTCCTTACTCTGTGCCAGGCACCGTTTCAAGTACTTTGTAGATATTAATGCATTTAATCTCATGAGGTAGATAACATTATTGTCCACATTTTGCATGTGAGGAGACTGCAGCACGGAGAAGTAAGTGGAGGAACTGAAATTGGAACCCGGGTCATCTGACTATATAATTTTGTGTGCTACTTCTCTGAGCATAAGAGAAAGATCAGTACTAAAGCGAAGCATGCTAATGGTCAGTAACGCTGAAAACATACTTTTCTTGGATGAATTTCTGTTGAATAGATAAGTGAATCTTGATATGATTGCCTTATTGTCCTACATATCTAGTATATTATAGAATGAGGCATTATATCTCTGGAATTTATCCAGGCTTTGGGGGTTAACAGAATTGGGTTTAAATTCTGACTGCCACGTACTCATAATTCTTATAATTATTTATAATTCTAAGGAATGTCTTTAAATATAAAATGGAGCTAGTAGTACTTCATAAGGTAGTTATGGGATAAACGAGATAATGAATGTAGTAGGCCAAGTATATTGAAGACATTCAATAAGTGGTATGTAGTATTAAGTGCTCTAACTAGGATGATAGAAGTAGAAGTTGTATAGTGGAGGAGATAAACCTAGAAACAGTTTCATGTAATCATATTATCAGCTAAGGGTGGTGAGTGAGGTATCCATAAATGGCAAGATTACTAACCTAACCTTGAGGTGTGAGGAGTGGCGGGGTGTAAGGGAAGCCCTTTGAAGCAAATTAGGCCTAAGTAATAATAAAGAATATTTCATTATTCCTAACTATTAAGTGAATTAAATTAATCATTATCTCGTTATAGTATAATGATTACAAATGACTAAGTAGTTAAAATGTTATATTTTAAATTTTGTTTTAAAAAGGTAAGTTGTATCAGTGAGCAACATAGACATTTATTCACCAACAGCAGTTTTGTTGTTTGTGTTTTGTGTGTGTTTAATTCTGTCCACCACATTTTTGGGCCCATCTTTTACCCTTGTGTGTAGTTTATCTTCACTATATTAGTTTATGGGGAGACCCTCCCTCTTAATAAACAGCAGGAAGCTGTCCACGTCTGGTGGTGCTGACTCATGTAGGAACAGGAAGAGGAATGATTCCTAAAGATGGGAGGGGAAGGGGCAGGAACCTCTTCCTTCCCCTAAAGAGACAAATTCGGGACAGAATTACAAAGCAGTTTATGTGACGGATAAGTAAGCCATAAGTTAAAAATTTTTCTCCTTAATTAGTGCTTTTTCATTTGTGCTTTATTCTTAGTCTACTGGCTTACCCATGAGAAAGCAATTCCTAATGCCCACTGCCTTTTAAATTTATGTTTGCTTTCTCTGATTAGAAGATTAAAGAGAAATATCATGTTTACACTTACAGTCAGTATTAGCTTCTGCTTGTAACTGGTGGTATGCAGTTGGGAAAATGGATAACTAGCACTTAACAGTGATGGTTGGCACCAATCAGTTCTTATTGGTTGAATAGAAAGAATTACTGAAAGGATTTTAGCTAGATAAGATATAACTTACTAGCTAAATGCATAAATTGTTATTATGTGTCATGAGCTTATTGTTGACTGAAAGCTGCGTTTTTAATTATCAAGTTTTGGAAAACATGTAGGATCCTGTAAAGAGAAATCCAGAAGATTTGAGAAGATAGGTGGGAGTGCTGTTATTTGCAGAATAGTTTCTGTGTGTGATGTGAACTCTCTGAGAGACCTTGAGGAGAGGGAGGAAGTGAACATAGGTGAAGTGGCTGGCTGAGGTGGGAGGATTGCTTGAGCCCAGGAGTTTGAATCTGTACTCTACCCTTGGGTGATATAGCAAGACCCTGTCTCAAATATATATAACAGAGGTCTAACTAAAAATTATTAGAATTGATTTTTACATGTAGTTTATGGAACAATTCTTAAAAATTCATAAAGTCACACTGTATTTAATCTACTTTGGGGTTCAAATGTGCAAAAAGGACTTTTAGGCAATGATTTTTTGGAATGTAAAAGATACCATAATTAAAAATGACTCTTATTGAATTGTTAAGCCTTATGTATCAAGGACTTCACTATCCCACCTGTAAATTAAGAAATTAAAACCATTCAGATTAAAGAAAGCAAGTATAAAGGAAGTTGGATGGACCCTTTTTGCCAATATGCAGATGTATCATTTCTAGAAGATGTACTTTAATTATAACCATTTAATAGATCAAGACTGTCTACTTGCAAACCACTTTTGGTATCTAATTTCTTGCAGCATAGTACATCTCAAATAATTGGTAGGCAATTGTTTTGTGTCTTTAAACATATTTTTAGGAACGTACGGTATTATGCAGTGAGCTGTCCTTTCCTTTGAATCTGGGAGGTGGAAGGAAGCTTAGTTTGAACGAACTTATCTAGTACCTGACATTGAACATCCCTGTATGCCTTTTGATAGAGCAATAGATTGAGACACATATTTACAACAAATGATAAAGTTTTTATTGGTTGTGAAGATACTATGCACACATATGAATGACCTGTCATGGATCTCACTGATACTTCCTTTTTATGCAGTAGCTATAGCCACTTTAAAAGACACAGATGTTATGTAGTAAAAATACTACAAACTCAGAACCTTTTAAAACAATTTTTGCCTCTTGCAAATTACTGTCTTTATGCAGTATTCCTCAAAGATCTTGTTTGCAGTGAAGCATCCTTTGAAGTATGTGAAATGTATTTTTCATTACCATCTCACACGTTATGTGCCCTTAATTCCATTTGTAGGAACTCCTTCTAACATTTAATGAAATCCTCAGCAGCCAACTCTATGCCACCGAGATTACCATGGGCTAACCAAAATTTTATGAAATGTTCACATGTTCCTGGAAAAACCAATGAGTAACTTAGAGAGACTGGTAAAGTAAAGGCCTGACTTCTACTGATGTTGCATTTCTGTAGTACTGCCATATTTGGACACTTACCTTATAAATACTTGTATGTTGTCTTCTTCATGATGTTCATGTTGAGGTGCTTGATGCCAGCAGTGTATTTTGTGTTTCACAGCTATGAAACAAAATTTTCCAACAAATATTTAATGAGTGCCTGTTAATACCAAGAAGTTTTCCAGGTTCTGGGGATATATAGCAGTTAAAACACACACACACACACACACACACACACACACATACACTCACACGAGTTCCTTGTTTGTATGGAGCTTATGTTAATTTCTGTGCATTGTAAGAGAAGACAAAACCAAATAGAATTCTATCCCTATTTTCGTGGATGGGTATAACAATT